ATTTATGAAGGTGGTTTCAAAGTCGTGGTAGTTAAAAAAAATTTAATCAAAAAGAGAATCAACTTCTACATTAAAGGAATGATTACACATTACACCGTGACTTAAAAGGATCACTCACTCTTCCATCTCAAGAAACTGATAATGCAACATGACACTTTTCACTGCCTTCTTCCTTTGAAAGAGACAGTCTGCCAGGTAGTAGAACAGACAAAAGAGCACAGGGTTTTTTTCTGGCAAATGATCCGAGTTTATGTTTAAATGGTATATTTAAGTTTAATGAGAAGTGTAAGGGCAACCATAGTACACTAGACTGACAGCAGAGCCAAGTGTCAGAAAGCATTAGAAATAGGCAGTTAGGCTTAAAAGTGAAAGAATGCTCCTTAGCTTAAGACTCCATGAATCTGGACTAACAGCTCTGCCAGGGTGAACTTTGGCTCATCTTAAAAGGTTTCAACAGAGATAGAAACTAGCAGCAATGTGGTGATCATATGGAATGCCCATTCAATTCAGCCCCTCATAGCAACAACAAGTGAAATAACCATTACCAGTGTCAAGTGAAATTATCATCCTGTAGCCTCTGACACTGGACTCATCTCTGTGCTTATGTATTTTTATTACAGATATTAGTTTTTTCTTGTTCAATGGACGTTTTTCTTTCCCATTGTTGCCAAGTGAAAGCTCATAAGGCGTTTATGTGATTGTTGAGGTTTTCTGTCTATTGGTGTAGAGTCTTTACCTTAAAATATAAAGCTCCTTGAGGTGTTGCATGAATACCTGCTTGCTTTTCCAGAATGCAGATAGCCAAATACCAAAAGAGCAGTGAACCTCGGAGCCAGCAGCAAGCTGCTTCTCAAGGAAACCAAGCTCACCGTGTTAAATAATTGTTTTGAGCCCCTCACTGTAGTTTTATACCAGACCAGAGGGTTCCACACTTGCCAAATCCCACCTAATTCTGTATTATATGACAAAATTATCTACAAATGCCTATTAGCAAACACTGGTCAGCTTCAAGATGACACACAAAAAGTGAAAAATATAAGTGCTTTAGTTCAGCATAGAAAGCATTACTATTATTTGATTATTAGCACTGCATCAATATGCTAATATATATATATATATATATATATATATATTATAATATATATATATATATATAAATATATATTATTATATATATATATATAATATGATTATATATATATGATATATATTACATCTGAAGCTGGTGAGAATGTGAGAACCTAGGAACTATAGTCTTCTAGGGTATAAAACCACAAGTTTTTATGTGAGTGATGGTGTTAAATGCAAAGTCAAAGGATGGCTAAAGTGACAGTTCAACTTGTAACTAATATAAATGGACTGTGTCAAACTAATTGTTTTATTTTTCATTTCCCTTTTTTCACTTCCTGTTCTAAAGTTCCTTCGCTGCCTAATTTCTCTTTCTGTTTTCACAGTTGTATTATGCATCTGTACTTCTTTTTTTGGATATAGTTTACCAAATTCAAGTTCATGTTGTGGAGCCTGAGAGCTTGTTGTACATTCCAGAAGGATAACGCAAGGACACATTGTGCACACAGTGTGTGTGTCTGTGTCTGTGTGTGTGTGAGACAATGTAATAATGGTTCATTGTCAGAAATTCCACAAAAGATAAGATATCTGGTTAAAATACATTTTGTCTCTTAGCTGACAGAAAAGAAGAGTGAATGTCAGAAACTTGTATTTTGAAATTCTCCCAGGGTTCTCTTACTCATCCTGACGCTGTTCATGTTGCATGGCAGGTTTGCAGCTGCTACTGGACTGAAATGGGAGTTGTCTTTTTATTAAACACCCCACAACATGATTATCCAGATATCCAGGTACCAGAGTTGCCTCTCTGCAGTTTCTCTCCTCCTGACATCCCCCCAAAACCCCCATTCCCATAAAGAGTGTGTCTGCTCCCAGACCATCAAAGGATGAATTAAAAAAACTGCAAAAATTCACAAATACCTCACAAAAACATTGCAATGTAACATCTACAACTGCACAAGAAGTAAACCGGTTAAATGCTGACTATTAAACATTAGGTATCTCTCTTCCAGTAAAGTAGAAGAGTATTTTTACCTTGCAAAAATGCATATTTATATGCATTTATGAGTTTTTCTTTCTTTTTTTTCAAAAAATGTCCAGTTGATTTATGTAATGTTATGCACAATTTATTTAAGACAGCAGTTACTGCATCAGTTTGGCTAGTTCTGTGTTTGGGTTAAAATATAGCATGATTAAGGATACAGAGTTATTAATATTAAACATCTAATTAAACCAGAATGTTTTTGTCCACCCCAACTCTCACGTAGCATAATGTGACATGTTTGTCGCATCCATTTAAAGTCAGCCAAGTGCTTGAAGAAAGATTTGAGCTTCTCATTAGTTCCTGCTCTAAAGTCCAAGGATGCCTGTTTAACATTTCATGGAATTCTATCTAATGGTCCTTGAGATATTCCAGTCTTACCAAACATGGATACCTGAAAGTGCAACTCTACAGCCATCATTAGAGAACATTATAGTGTCATAATCCTGCATTGAACAGACATTTATTGTGAACATTAAATCTTAAATTCTTCCAGTTTAATCTTCCAGTATCTAATGTATAAATAAATAAAGTGTATTTATGAAGGTGGTTTCAAAGTCGTGGTAGTTAAAAAAAATTTAATCAAAAAGAGAATCAACTTCTACATTAAAGGAATGATTACACATTACACGGTGACTTAAAAGGATCACTCACTCTTCCATCTCAAGAAACTGATAATGCAACATGACACTTTTCACTGCCTTCTTCCTTCTCTGCCCTCACATTCTTTTTGCTTCCTCTTTCTCCCTCCCTCCCTGTCACACACTGATCTTTTATTGGCTAAGTGGTGGTCACTGTAAACTGACCATTCTTCCCACCCCCACATCTCTGTGTTCCAGGGATGAAAGAAAGGCGCAAAAGATAACATCACTTAACTGCTTTTCAAAAATCCCCCATCTTCCATGCCTGTTCACTCTTAAACTGTGAGGATTAGACTACACAACATATGATATAAAGGGTATTTGAAATAACCATCTTCAGCTTAACTTGTCATTTTAACAGTAGCTTCATGCATTGGTTGATTTTCATAATTTTGCTTCTATAAAATGTTTTCGGAAGTCAGAGCATATTCAGTTAGACCTTGAATGTAAATTCTACTAACACATTTCCAATCATCTATTGTAATTTTACAAAGAAGAATTGCTGAGTAATGTATTAATATTCTAATTAAATATCCATCAGCAATGGTGTGCTTGGTACCAAAAACATACAGAATTCAGAAAGAAAGGAGGCAGGGAAGAGGAATCCAGCAGCTAACATTAGCTATGGCTGAGCCTGGCTACATTCATGGTGAGTAAACTATTTGCCAACGGTGTTTTATTTGCTCCTCAGCATCACAATGACAGCATTTGAACAGTGCTGTGAAACTGTTTGTAATCAGGGTATGCTGAAATTTGCTAAACTAGCAAATATTTATAGGATCTGCTAACATTCAAGCAAGAATATCTGTTCCCAGAGTTAGCTATCATTTTGGCAAACTTTAGTTAGGTAAAGGTCTGTCAAAAACCTAAATTAATTAGATGGTTTCATAGATGTTATTTCAGTTTTCAATTCATTAAAAATCTGCTAAGTCGTGTATTAAATATGAAGTTAATTAATATCAGTTTTATGTGCTTATCGGTGTGATTTCCTGAAAGCTAAAGAGTAAGCTAATGTTAGCTGCTAGCTTCCACCAAGTTTCTATTTTCTTGGAAAAGTAATTAGGGTTAGGGTTCTTGTTTATTTTGTTTTACTTTTCACACATCTTGGCATTGTTTTGGTTAAGGAAACCCAGTGGACTTAAATATTTCAGTGTAGTCTTAACCCCCCTCAAGTATGAATGTGTGTGAAGGTTAGCTTGAAAGTGCTTAGAAGCATAGAAGAAAGTGCTTGTGTGAATAGTCGAAGGTGGCATGTTGTATAAAGCGCTTTGAGGGCTCCAGGAGAGCAGAAAAACACTATATAACAATCAGTCTAATTACCATTTAACTCAACAAGCATTTGTTTGTGTCTGCCAGATGTTAGCTGGTAATACTATTATATCCTTTTGTGGCTGCATTTTAGGAAAGCTGCAATCTCTGATATCCAGTCCTGTGCAAACAGTCTTGATCTACTCCTCATTTCTTTATATATTACTCAGTCAAGCATAAAACGGCAAGTAACACAGGTGAATTGGTGTTAGTTGACAAATAGCACAGGTAAAACCAAATCTTTGAGCACTTTGTTAATCACAAAAACACATAATTGTTCCCGTTTCTTTAGTTGATTCTTCTTCTTTTTTTTCTTTTTTTTTTTTTTTTTTTTTTTTTTTTTTTGCCTGTCCCGTTTGGCTCTTTTGCCATCAGAATTATTGTCTAAAGGCAAAGAAAGATGCCCAACGGATTTACTTTACCAAATTGACCATCCCAGCCTTGCCGTAATGGTCCATTTGATTCACCTTTTATTGTTTATTTTATTTTCACTTACTGAATACGGGACAGACTTGACTGGGGGAAAGAAGGGGAGAAAGAAAGAGGGAAAGAGAAACAGCTGAGAAGAGGGACGGGGGAGAAGGGCAAAAGACAAAAACCAACAGAACGGGCAGAGAAAAAAAAATGCATATATCGATCACCTGGATCACCTGCTGAGAAAGAAAAAAGAAAACAAGCAGAAGAGAACAAGAGTAATAGAATAAACAACATCACAATGATATATGGGAATATGACAGTAAATACTAAATATTAAACATTATTGTGCAGCACATAAGATCAACAGAACACAGTGTGCTTTGAGGTAGGAGCCAAAAAGGGTGTAGTTTGTGGGTGTGATCACCCGTGTGTACACCTGTGAGCATGGACGCGCTTGTTTTTTAAAAGGTTCCTTCATGTAATGATCTGCTAGAGGGTGTGGGGGGGCCACAGCCCCGTCCTCCAGGGCATGAAGCAGGTATGGAGGAGATCAAAACTCCAGACATCCAGAGGCCCCCAGAACACAAGAGACCAAGGAAGACCAACAGAGGGGCAGCGCGCCACTGTCCCAGAAAGAGCTGAGGAGAGTCCCAGATGAGGGCTCACTCAGCAGCCGCGGAGCAGAAACCAGGGGGAGTTGCAGTGACGCGCCCGTGAGCTCCGCCGGCAGCCAGCCGTGCCTGAGTGACCGAGCCCCAGGCCGAGAGGCCGGGGGCACCCCACCTCCGAAGTGGCCCGAGCGAGCCCCAGGCTCCAGGCCCCGATAAGCGGCCGCCAAGGAGTGAGCCGGTGTGTACCTGGACGCCCATCCCCGAGACACAAAGAACCACCAACGCACCGATGTCTGAGGGAGTCCGCCACTGGCAGGGGAAGTGGTGGTGGGGGAGATAGGCCTCCAAACCTTGGAGGGCCTGAGATGTCCCCAGAGAGGTGGCGTCTGATACCCAACCTGACATATAGACACAGACATACAGGCACACACAGACACAAACATCCATTCCCACCCTCATGCTCTCATATGCACTTACTCCACACTCAACCAACGTGGAGACAGACATAAAGAGACGCTGTACACACGATCACACTCCCCAAGCGTACTCTACAAACCGGGTCTAGGTACCCTTGCCCCTGGAGGGGGGAACTGCACCCAGACCCAGGTGGTGTTACCCTTTTCCCTGCGGTGGGGGGAGGCAGACCGCCCCGACTCCGCAGCAGCAGGGAGGCCCCACACTCCAGACCGCAGTCGGACGGCCAACTCCTCCTCCTAGCCCCCCCGCTCCAGCAGGTCGCAGAGAACGGGGGTGAGAGAAGACTCCAAACCTCCCTCCACCCGCTCATTGTAGTGTTGATGCATGTGTGTTCTAAGGTGCATTTAAAACCCAGGAGGGCATGGAGCTACCTGCCAGAGAGCAGCAGGTAAGCGCATGGTCCCTCCTGCTAGCCCTCAATGTCTACGTGTATTTAAAATTGAGAGGTGGGCAACGACGCCAGGGGTGAGGTGTACACCCTGATGGTACTTTGGATTCCGTGTATCGTGCCCACCCCCAAGATCCTATATGTATGTGTACTGTAGAAGATGGAGAATTGAAGTGACTAAGTTGTGACAGGTATAAAATTTTAGTTTTTCTGTTAAAATGTTATTAGATATCTTGGCATATCTCTGCATGTTGTGGAGTGTATCCTTAAAAATGTGAGGACTGTCAGGAGAAGAGATACAACAGTGAGTGTCTTATTAAAGCTGAAACGTATCATCAGATTTTGATCTACCATCTAAAAAGCATCTGGTTGGCAACAGCTTTTTTTTTTCAGCATGCCAATGATACACTGCCAATGCAGTAAAAGCAGGCCCAGATAGAAAAACATACAGTGGAACACTATCCATGATGGATTGACCTCCCAGAGCCCGGATCTCAATATTACTGAAGCAGGAATACAACAGAAAGACCCCAAAAACATAGTCCTGACACAGAACAGAAGAAAAAGCAGCCAACATCTAAAGAAGAACTTTACAATGTCCTTCAAGAAACCTGGAGAACTATTGTTGTAGACTACTACAAACATTGTTCATTTAAACTATTGGACTTGAATAAATGAAATCCCATTTAAAATAAAGTAGTAGTGCATTCTCTCAGTCACATGCTTTCAGACTGTGAGGGTAAGAACAGCATGGATGAGAAAAGTCCATTTTCTTCAGTATCAATTACTGATGTTTATCAGCACATAGCATTACTTCAGTGGGTACGCTTACAACAGCTTAGTAGCAAATGGGATGTTGTGTATCCAGATGACAGTGAAAACTGAAGCAAATAAAGCTGAATGCTTAAATTTGTATCATCAAATTCTGTATTTGGCTTCTGTTCGGGGATACTGTCGATGATTTCCTTTCAACACTCAGCTGAATACATCCACTGGTTTTCAGACAGTCATTTGTGGGTTTTTTAGGCTGGTTTCACACTAATGACTTTATAACACTGTTGGTTGGCTTTACAAATGAAAGATGGTTTTCTGTCAGCAGCTTCACGTGTTTTTTAGTGATTCTTAGTAAGCAACTGTGGATAAAGTCTGGATGTCAGTGTGTGTGCATGTGTGAGAAAGACATGGGGAGTGAGAGACAGATTATCAGTAAGAGGAAATGAGACTGAGAGCTCCCGAATGTGGCTGACTGAACTCAGACTCAGATCATTGCTGATAATAACGCTGTCCGCTGCTACTATCCGCTGTGTCTCTATTTATTATTTATGAACAGAAACTACTTGTTCCTGTTACTTCAGGTGTGACGGGCTGGGATGACCATATTAGGAACACGGAACCTGCGCACCTGTAAGCTGACGTCATGTGCTGAAAGTACCTGAAAGAGCGCCTTGCAGAGTCGAGTCTCAGTTACAGAAACTACCTTCAGGGGACAACAGGAAGACGCCAAGAAGCGAGTTCAAAGAGGAATATATTTAGGATTCTTTTCGTTTTTGGCTGTGTACTCGAGAGGAATACTAAAAATACGACTTAGACAAATGGGGACCGCATTGTTCGCGGTTTTTGGTGCTTTAATCGTCGTTTTCCAGGTGAGACTTCCTCTTTTGGTTAATATTTTGCCATCAAAATTTGAATTTTTCAGCATTGAAGGTCAGGGATTTTAGGTTTTTCCTTAAACTGAACATCGTGCAGCTTTGAGCTGTTGTTCAGAAAATGCCTTGGCAAAGCATTGCGCTGCTTAATATACACAGTTTAAACACTAAATAAAGAACAAAATAACTGTCACTTTAAATACTAATGAAAATGTGTCTAACGCTCCGTGTAATTATATGAATGAATTGAAATTGTGCCTGTAAGCCAAATGACTTTTCATTTCATTTAAAAATCCCAAAAACGATATTACTTGGATGATAGTCCTTTTTCTCTTTTACATTAATGAATCTTTTTAAAAGTGCTTCTCGATATGTGTAAGCGAAACAGACTGGAGTGAACAAAGCTGAAACCACAACTCTGAACTGGAAATTAACCTGCAGACAACGTCATCAGCGGAATCAGGGCGAGGCTCGCGCACAACCTCGAACTCTTCGAGGCGGAAGGGTATGAAAAGAAAGACGGCTTAAACCTCCGCGTGTGTTCTGCGGTTTCGACACTTTTTTAAAATACTTTTTTTTTTTTAAATATTTGTTGCAGATTGCTCTGCGAAGAAAGCTGCTACACACAATAAGGATTTTAGACCCCCACAAGTTCGTTTGGCCCACTAGTCCCAGCAAGTACCATAGCTGATAAAAGCATTTCTTTATTAAAATCCAAGGCTACTTCACGCATAAAGAGGTGCCGAAATTATTCCGCGAAGAAAAGAAAGAAAAGACTGCTTGTAAGATACCCGGTGTTGTCCAGTTCAATCACATTAGTAACAGGATTTACCGACATTTATTTTTTGTGACTCTAAGCAGAAGGGACAGTGAGAGAATTGAGCACCGA